TTCCCCCTCTCCAGAAGGCTCCCCAGCCACAGATGGACTCTCTGCCCCAAGCAAGGGCCACTGGCAGGTTCCAGTCCATTGCAGCCCCAGTTTTGTATTTCTTAGGCTAATCTGCACTTCCTTACTATTTATTTGGGTTTTGCAAGCACTGTGCCCATCCAAGCCATTTGTTTATACAAGAAACCTCCACAAATTCCTTCCTAAGGATGCTGCCTCCAGACAAAGCCCTGTAGCCAAGTTACCTGCGCTGCCTGGGAGGGCAGCAGCCCCGTCTCAGCTGGGGAGGGTGTGTGGGTACCAGCCTGAACCTTACGCCTCCCATGGTAAGGGGGGTCACCCAGTGCACCTCACAGCCCAGCCCAGGTCCTTGCTGCTGAGATAGGATGCTGCTGGGATGGGATACTGCCCGTCCCTCTGATCCCAGTGGGGAGGTGCTGGGGACCATGCTGGGAAGCAAGCTCGGAGAGGGCAGATACCTCCCGCTCGGTGTCTCTTCTCTGGGCAAGACACCTAAAATAATATTTGGGTTCGCTTGAAAGCACAGCACAACACATCCGGGAAGGAGCCGCGCTCAGGAAACACAATGGGTTTAAGAAAACAAGAATCAGGGGCAGTTGCAGTTCAGCCAGGCTGGCTATGATATTATACTATGAATATATTATAAATATATTATATTACAGATATATGATAAATGTAATATATAATAAATATATTATATTTTTAATGTATATAATAAAGAATATATATAAAAATCCCTCCCACAAGCAAATGCCCCCTAGGTGGGTTGTGACCTCCTCCAGCTGCTCGCCCTGGCGACAGCCGGCTCTAATCCATCCATCTCCTCCCTGCTGAGCACCAGCATCAAGCCCAAGCTTTGATAAATGCAACACTCCAGCCTGATCCTGGGGCTTGCCAGAGGCATTGGAAATAATCCAGTTCCAGCCCTGAATCGAGGCATCCCCGTGAGGGATGGTTATAAGGGCCCTTTGCAGCCCATTTGCCCAATAAAGGGGGCAGCAGCACCATAGGTCTTACTGTACATCCAGCTATGATCAAACCCTCCTGCCAGACCCTGGCTGAGACCCCATTTACAGTAACCCCCTTGATATCTGCTGTCCCAGGGGCTTCTGCGTTACCTGCAGATTTCACCCCTCCAAGTTTCATCCCGTTGACACAAAGGCAACTCGTGAAGAAGCACAGATGCCAGCTGAGACCTCACCAGCAGCCCTCCAGCTGCCCATGAGCAGCTTGTCTCGTGGCTTGACCAAGGGCCAGGTTTTAATCAGCTTGACGCCCTGTTAGTTCCAGATAACGCGAGTCAGGGCTGATCGGCAATGGAAACACCACGAGGCAGTCAGATGCCAAGGAGACATCCAAGCCCGTGCTCCCCGCTCCCACCTCGGCCGGCCGAGGCAGTCAGCCTGCATCCCTCGATGGCGGCTATTCCCCATGGGAAAACCGGGGGTGGGCAGTGGGATCGGGTGTTTGGCAAGCTCGGGAACGTCATCTGCTAGAAAGGCAGGAGTGCTTCGCTCCACTTTGGGCTGTTGCTTTGCCTTCCAACTGGTGCCAAACCCTCTCCAGCTGGGGAGAGGAGTTCCTCCATGGCCATGAACTGGCCCTTCCGGCAGGTTCAAGAGCAAAAAATTGTTCTTCAAGAAAAGAAAGTTGCTCTTGAGACCTCAGGGGACCAACTCAAATCCCAGCACAAACTGGTCCCCAGCCCATCAATCATTAACCCTTCCCGGGGGAGCTTTCCCTGCCCGAAGCAGTTTAACTGGGACTGCAGCAGTGCTACTCATTAGTCAAGATGATGTTTAAGCTCAGAAATGTGTTTTGCAAAGCTCCCCGGGAAAAGCATCGCTGCACTCGGCAGAGCCTCTGTTGCTGGGCAAACCGCGCTCAACCCAGGAGAAATCCAGCGGTGCAATCCTGAACTTTACTCTCCTCAAGTACCGCAGGGGATTTTCACGTCAGCTGGGCATCTTCCCCACACTTTCCATAAACCTTATCTAGAACATGTCATGCTGAAATCACGGGCTGAGCTATCACCTCCACTCCTTGCTCTCCAAAGTCTTCCTGCAGATACCGCCCTACGTCAGCCAACAAAGATATGCTCTGGCCCAAGCGTTTTTTCCAGCTAAGAGAGACATTTTATCAGCCAAACCAGCTCCTCCACCAAAGGAGTTGGGTATTTTTAGCAAAGGGGAGACTCGAAGAGGCTCAGCGTTTGCTGGAAGAGGTATGGGCAATGGTGGCTGCTGTAGCACAACCCCATCTCCTCCTGCCAGCCCACCTTGAGAGCTTTGCCTTGGTGAGACCCAAGACAACAAAGTTGGTGGCATCTCAAGCCACCTTTCTCTGCCATCTCAAGCAACCCCTTCCCCAGGGATGCACGCGGAGTGTGGGTGCTGGTTTGTCTTCTGGGCAAAGAGATTGGTTCAACAGGCACAGGCTGGTGTCACGTCCCTCCAGCCTCACCCAGGCTTCTCCTTGGAGATGCTCCTTGGAGTGACCCAAGGCCTTACCTGGTATTTATCTGGGTCAGCTCCTCCAGCCTGAGCAACAAAGAGCCCAGAGCCATCTTCCAGTTCCATCTCATCCGGGGAGCGCTCAAAGCGGACCCGCTCATGCTCCTCACAGTCCAGGTAGAGAACGACTTCATCCTCCTCCACGCTGATGGCGAAGCGCGTCCACTGGTTGAGCAAGGTGGGCACAGTGAAGGTGGCTGCTGCATATGAGCTTGTTGAGCCTGGCTCTGTGTAGTAGAAGATGATCTGCTGCTTGCCCACCCGCAGCTCTGAGAGCTTGACGCCCACATAGATGATACTCTGTGAGGAGTCTGTGACGGCAAAGAGCACACCGGCCCGGGGGGTGGTGGGCTGGATGTGGAACAGAAGGGAAAAGTCCCGGTAGAAAGGGCTCGGCAGGTGGTACCGGGCCACCTGGCCCGTGTTGGCATTGGGGCCGAAGACATAGCCGGGGTTGTTGTCGGGGCCATAAATTTTGAGGATCTCCTCCGGCGGGGGGTCTCCAATAAGCTCCAGGAGGCTGACCTCAGCGCTCAGGTTCTCTGCAAGAGGAAAGGAAAGGGGATGGTCACAACTGGCCTGGCAAGGGTGGTCACCCTCATCAAGGTGCCTTGGGGGGACAGCACCGGCTATGCCTCCCTCAAACACCCCTCTTCAGTGGCTCCCTCTGCTCACTCTCCCCAGGGCCCGGGATTTTCCTTCAGATTGCAGGTTGGCCAAGGCAGCAATGCTCCTTGAGCTGCTCCCACCACACAGTTGGGATGTGGCTCCCAAAATGCCACCCATTCCCTGCTGCTGGCCCTCCAACCATGGCCAGGACATCCCTGAGATGGGATAAAACCAAAGGGATCTTGCCCGTGGTAGCAACATGCCTGTGCAGGCAGCGGGGGATGCTGCCGGAGCACCGGGATGCTGAACAACCACGGAGCCGCAAGGAAGTGTGTTGCATCCGTACCCGCTCCAGGGTCATGATGACCCCCCACGTCATCCCAGGACAAGCTCATGGGGTCACCCCAGCTGGAAACAAATCAGAGCCATCCCCTTGCAACATCCTGGGAATGGGGCTCGAGCCGGTGGGCTCTGTCAGCTTCCCAGATGATCTCAATTTGGAGCTCGCCTCCTTTCCCGACTCCTTTTTCTCAAGGCACTTGGGGAAGTTCTGCTCGGGACGGTCTCTCCTACCCGACGCAGCTGAACATCTGGCCGGGGTGAGCCGGCCCTCTGTACGCCAGCTCCCGTTGTTTTGGCAGCAGGCACATCCTCATCGCCCACACACCGGGCGCTGGATTCCTCCTCTCCTATGTCAACTGCTCGGGTGGGTGCCAACTCGATGGGATTGAGCACGTCGGGTGCTTTTTAACTCTGTGTTTCCCGGGAGCGAGGAAACCAAACTACCCCAGCTCCAAAACGGCCAAGGGCTCTGCACTATGAACGGACTCTTGGTGCCGATTTCAGCCCCATCCTGAATCAGGAGCAGGAGCTGAGACAATTCAATATCCCCAACTCCATCCCTGGTGTTTCACATGAGTAATGGGGGGTTATCAGAGGTGTGTTGAGCTCTGGAGGACCAGCCAGGAACCTCCACCCTGCTCTGGAGCCAGGCATTGTCCTCCAGAGCGCTTAAAAAAAATAAAAAGAAGAGAAGAAAAAAAAAGAAAGAAGAAATCAGCCCAGCCTTGCCCAGCCTGGAAGGAAAACACGTTTCTCGAGATGGTAGGAGGAGGTGAAAACCTGGGTGCCTCTTCCAAAGCCTGGGGGTACCTGCACACATGGAGCAGCCCCAGCCTCCCCCTGCAGCCGAGCCCCAATGCTAGCGCCAGCCCCGTGACAGGGACCCACGTGGCAGGGACGTTAGAAATGCCACCAATTAGAGGTGGGGGCAAGTTTTCTCTCTTGCAGACCCCAGGCGCACTGATCCTCTCCTGAGCCTGCTGCTCTGAAACTACTCTGTGCCTACCCTGCTCCCCCAAGCCCCCAGTCCCTCCCAAGCTTGGCACCCCAAAACTGAGCACCTGGCTGGGAGGAAACCTCCCTCCTGGTCTTGCACCAGTCCTAACCCCCTCATCTGTCCTGCACCAGGATTGGGCTTCCCCATGGGGCATCCCCAGCCCACTCGGAGGGGAAAGGCTCAGCGCAGCCCCTCTGCCTCGCTGGCCATAGGGACCTCTGTATGCTGGAGCCCAGCATCCTTTCAAGCCCAGCATCCTTTTGCGCCCAAATATGCGCAGCCCTACAACAAAAATGATGGGGCAAGCGAGTGGGGCTCCCCCTGGGTCTGCAGTGAGCCCCACCCTGGCACCCACCCTTGAGACATCCCATGCTCAGGCACCCCACAAGTTTGCTCCCACTGTCCCATCCCCAGCCGCATAGTCCCCAGCCATGCCAGCCACTCTGCAGCAGGCGGCTGCAGCCAAGCTGACTGCAAACACCAGGATGCAGGGATGGAGCTTATCTCGGGCTGGAGGAAGCCAAATTCACAGCAGCTTTAAGGGAAGAGGAAACCAGAGCTTCCTCCTGGGGGTCCACATGGCTGTAGGAGCCGGCACTGCAATTTCTGCAGCCAGACAAGCCATCATCTGCCCCCAGGGCCAGGGATGACGGGGGACAGGCTGAAAGAGGCTTTTGTTAGCAATGCAATTTTCAACCACACTCCCCTTGGTGTTTCAGCTGGCTCTGGGATCCTTCCTCCTCTCCAAACGTGCCACTCGCCCCTGAGCCCGGGGTAGGAGCTGGGTGCCGGTGTTTCCCACAGCAAACAGGGACATGTCTTTCCCCTGCGCAACGTGCAAAGCAGGCAGAGGCCAGGGCTGTGAGGCAGGATGGGGCCTGGGGAATGGGGGAGTAAGGGCACACCCCTTCAAATGGCTGCTCCCCTGCAAAAGCCAAGTGCCCCTTCTCAACCGAAAATCTTTCAGGCCATGCTTGCTTTTTCCAAAGGGCTCCCAGAGCCCAAATATCGCACCCCCTCCTCCCTGTGGCAAACCGGCAGCACCCACCGCAGTGCACAGAGAGACAAGAGACAGCTGACGACACAGTGGTTTTGGGATGGGTGCTGGCACAGGATGGCTGCAGGGATGCCTCTAGCCGCAGCGACCCAGCCATTTGCTCCCGTTGCCATTGGAAAGGCCCCAGGGATGCTCCAAGCCACCTCCCCACTCTGCCATGGCCTTCCTGGCTGGCCTGAGCTGGGGCTGCCAGCGTGGCCCCAGGCATCCCATCCCAGCTGGGATACAGGGGAACCCCAGCACACAGGAGCATCTCAAGTCACTCTATGGGGTGCACCACAGTCCCCACATCCCCCACCCATTCCTGATGCTGCCCATCCAGGAGCGTGCGCCTCCCCCTGAGCATCCCCATGATCCTGCTGCACCCTTCCCGGGGTCAGCTGGCAAACAGAGCCGCTTTGATGCCGAGGGGACCATGTGTGCGACCCTTGTCAGCTGGCCCCCAGCTAAATTGCCCCTCTGATGGCAGCACTCCTGGTCGGCAGCCCCAGGCCATCACCGGAGGGCACGGGGGGCCGGCGCGGGAACACAGCCTCATTCAGAGGGCTTGGCAGGGGGGAGCAGTGAGCTCCCACTCCTGCTTTCATTCCAAACTGTGTTCTTGCTCTTACACCCCAATATGCATTTCTCCAAGCACCAGTCCCCCCACAACTCCCTTCCTTTCACCCCCTGCCAAAGAGGCACGTCTTGGTCCCCGGCTGACATACAGAAGGGTCACAACCACCTAATGACAAAGCCGGAGGCAAAGCAGCCTCTCCCACCTGCCAAGCAGGGGGGGATCAAACAGTAGCCATTGGGTAAATCATTAACCCCAAGGCAAAGGGCCACTCTGGGAGAGGGAAGCGTGCGGGCCCAGCCGTGGGTCACCTTGAAGCCTCTTCACTGCCATGGCCCCAGACGCTGCTGCAGTTGGGTGGTCGCGGAGTCCTTCCCCTGTCCCCTGCCATGGCCCCAGATGCTGCTGCAGTTGGGTGGTCGCAGGGTCCTCGTCCTTCCCCTGTCCCCACGGGGAGCTCCCAGCTTTGCAAGCACCCTGCTCCTGGGATGGACACCCTAAAGCCCTCTGCTGTGCACTGCGGCACCTGCAAACCAGCCCTGAATGCCAGCATGATGCACTTGGGGAGCACCTCTTGTCCGGGCCACTGGGACGTTGTCTTTTAACCTGGCCACTGTGTTTCACTGGGGGTGAAACAGCCTGAGGAGGGGATGGTGATGCTCAGCCTTGCGGAGGGAGCCAAAAGCCGCTGGCGGGCCCTGTTTGAAGAAGCCAAGGCTGGATGGAAAGTGATTTCGGACTCAGCAGCACCCCATGGGGACAAGGCAGAAGCATCCCTTGGTGCCTAAAAACCTGGGGGAGTTTGGGGAGGGGAGACACACACACATGAACATCACCCAGCCACATTACCTGCAGAAGCATTAATAAAGACACAAGAATACCCTTCGTCCTCCTTGGGGAGAGCATCGCAAGGCAGAGGCAGGTGCCCGCTGGCCAAGTGCATCCAACACTGGTCTCTGACGGCCTCACAGAAGCCCTGGCATGGCGGGGGGGTTATGGGGACCGAGGGACCGCACCCGGGGAGCAGGAGCAAGCAGAGAAACCACTCCATGTAGCGATGGCACCGCGATTCAAGCAACCCCTCCCACTCATGCAAAGCTGCCCGAATTTCCGCCTCGCTGCTGTGGCGGAGGTAATTCGGTAATCTGAAATGGTCAGTGCCCAGCACACTGCAGAAGGGCAGGCGGGTCAGGATGGGCAGGCAACGGCTGGCTGGCGGCATCAGTCCGGGTAAGAAGGATGCAAGCCCCATGCCACTACTACCGTAGAGTCGCGTAGTGGCGGTTAGTAAATCAAACTCAAGAGGACCGGAGTTATCAGCAAGAGGAGAATCCACACCGTTAGCCACCCTCCTGTTAGGCAAAGGAGGGCTCTGGCTCCCGTTCATGCCAGCCAGTGCCAGCCCCCGGCGGCCGGTGCCATGCCGCAGGTTCAGTGGGGCAGGCAATGCTCCGTGGCGGTGTCGGGGCGGTTGCGCCATGGGGTCCCGGGGCAGTACTGCCTGCTCATGGATACTGTCACCTGGTGAGAAAGGAAAAGGGGCACTACCTGGCCGGGGACCCGCCGGTCTCTGCAAGGACACCTGTGTCCCCGTCGCTGCGGGGGTCCCCGTCCCCAGGAGCTGCGGGTCCTCAGTGTTCCCCATCCCCAGGAGCTGCGGGTCCTCGGTGATCCCTGTCCCCAGGAGCTGTGGCTCCTCGGTGGTCCCTTTCCCCAGGAGCTGCGCGTCCTCGGTGGAGCTGCTGGCCGCATCCTGGCCAGGGGCAGGTGACGTGCTGTGGGGAGGAGCGATGCTTGGCCACGCTGTGCTCTCCACCAGCCCCGTGGCATTCCCGTCCCACTGCTTGGTGTTTTCAGCTGCGGTCCCCTTGATCATAGGTGCTGCTGTGCTGGGATCCGGCTCCTGGCACTGTGGGGTGGTGATGTCCCCCACCACCTGGCCACCCCACGTCCCCGGGGACACGCTGGGGGTGGGAGCTGCCGGAGAGGCGAGCGGCTCCGGTGCCGCGGTTCCCTCGCCGGGTGCCACTGGGCTTCCCACGGTCTTCACGCTGTCCCAAATCCAGTCCAGGAGCTGCGTTTCGGAGGAGGAGAAGCAGCAAGCCAGGAGGAGCAGAAACCCCAAGTGAGGTGGGGCTGGGGCCATTAGGAAGGGAAAACGAGCGTCGTTGCTTCAGAGGACAAAACAGAGAGGCCAGAGGAGGGAGAGGAGGGAAGAGGCAGGAGTTTTTGCCCCGGCCAGACTCCTGGAGCGCTCACATCGCTCTCTCCTCCCCGGCTCCAGCACACGACCCTTCAAACCAGAACAGAGTGGGAGGAGTGGCCACGCCACCGGCCCTGCCAAACCCTCCTCCCCTGAGCCAGCCTCCCCCCACCCGGGGGGGGGCCCCCGCCCCCCCCCGCTGCCAACCCCTCCTCTCCTGAGCCAGCCTCCCCACACCCGGCACGGCCCCCCGGGGACCCCGCTGCCCAGTTGGGGACCCACCTGAGCCTCCCAAAACCTCTGGGAGCCAAGCCAGCCCTCAGACGCACCCTGTTCCTTCCCCAGCTGCTGCTGCCAGCTTTTTAACTCCTTCCTGCCCAGAAAATCCTAAACCCTCTCTCCCTGCTCGGTGGCTCTGTTTAAATTACTGGTGTCGAGAGCCATACGTGGCAGGGTCACACATGGACATGGTCCCCACGGATGCCCAGCTTCTGTGAGACACACAAGTTCCCCCCTCCAGGTCTCGGGGAAAGGTTATAACCTCAGAACAAAACCAAATGAGGAGGGAAAAAATCCCAGAAAACTTTTCCAAGATTTCCACTGGCCGGAAACACAACAAGTCCCAAAAGTCAAGTGCTTTTGAGCTGCTTTCCCAGCTCGGCTACAGGGCCAGGACCCCCCAGGTGCTGTCCCAGGACGGCGAGGGGTGCACTTGTGATCCCCCCTGCGCCACAAGCATCACGTGCCAGCGATGTCTGGAAGCCAGGAGGTCTGAGCAATCGTAAACTTGAGTACTTGAGTTTTACTGAAGCCTGGGATGAAAATCTCCCCTGGGCAGCACTGGCGCTCTCCCACAGCCCAGAAACTTCAGTCGCTCTTCATCCCAGCTTAAAAAAAATCACCCCAAATCCGCTTATCTGGCCCATTTCCCCACCTCAGTGGTGCCCAGCTCTGGAGATGATGAGCCCTCCCCCCTGAGGACCACTGAGTCCCCAGTCCCCTGCCAGGATGCAGCACACCCATGGACCACACTGCCATGCTGCTCTTGCTGTGACGCAGGGCCAGTCACCTTCATGGCTCAGAAAGTGTCCCTGAGAAGGGACATTAACAGGGAGGTGACAATTTTGGCTCCCCCTAGCTGGGATGCTGCCTGGCCGGGAAGGCCGTAGTCTGTGGTAATGTGGTCCCACAATGCGAAGCGGGAAGGGATGCAACTCTCCTGACGCTCCAGTTTAAAAATATTCAGGAAAAGCACTGAAACAAATGCTCAGATGTCTATTTTGCTTTATGCAACGTTTCCCACGCTACTTTTTAAGCAAAATGGGTGAGTTTTCCCCTTAAAATGCAGCTGGCATTGCGAGGATGCTGTTGCTAATAGGCTTGCCCCACGACTGATGCTATTAGGGGCACATGTTGTGGAACAGCCCACGACTAATTGAATGCAGGACGCATTTTTATCTGTATGTCAGAGTTTCCATACAGCTCCCCTGAAGCTCATGTGCTCCCATCAACCTGATGAAAGGAGCCAGCCTGCCAACCCGCCCCGGCATGTTTGGACGGGACCCTGCTGCGCCCGGCTCTGCTCCCCTGGGGCGAGGGTGTGGCGTCCTGGCAGGGTGCAGGAGCC